AGCAGAATCAGGTCCCTCCTGGCAGAGCTGAGCAGCACGACCACTAAGAGGGACAATAGTTCTCTGTTTCTATCACTTATTAGGACAAAAATGTGCGCCCGAGGCATAGTTAGGTGGTTTATTGCTCATCAGCTCTTCTTAAGTCCATCATTAGTGAATAAATGTGTTTGCTGACAGCAGCTGGGGCTGCTGCAAGAGCCGGGCTGGGAAGCACCCGCAGGTACCCGGCCTCTGCCTCATCCTGTCCTGCTGTGTCCTGTCCTGCCTCGTCCCATCCCTCCTCCTGCTGTGTGGCATCTGCTGATCCCATCCTGCTGATCCCATCCCACTGCAGCCCTTCCTGCTTTAATCCACCCCCCTGCATCCTATCCCACTGTTCCTATCCTGTTAATCACATCCTGCTGCATCCTGTCCCCCCCATCCCATCCCATCCCATCCCATCCCATCCCATCCCATCCCATCCCATCCCATCCCATCCCATCCCATCCCATCCCATCCCATCCCTTCCCCCTGTCCACGCTGCCTGGGTGTTCCGGAGCTCAGAGGGAGCAGAGGTGCCCGGGGCTGGAGCAGGGCAGGCAGCAGCACCTCCCCAGGGTGCCGGGCTGTCTTGTTTTCCATTTCTGCAGGCAGAGCTGTTGAAAAATGCAGGAGATGCCCCAGGCAACCTGAACTCTGCATCAACAGTTTTAGCCCTGAGTTTCCCACTTGTTGTTGCTGTTTTCTTTAGCAGAGAAGAGATGTGCTTTTGGAGAGTAAATCTCCAGCAGAGATCGCACAGCTCTGCAAGCAGAGGAGCTGCCTCGGCGCTTTGGGTGCTTTGCCCTAGATTTTACAGCATTAATGTCCCACAGCCGCAGTGATTCCCCCAAAACCTTTCTCGAGGACAGGGCTTGGAAGCCATTGAGCCCTGTGGTGTGGGCACTTGCTTTGGGCAGTTTTTGTTGGGGTTTGGGCAGGGTTCAAGAGTGTGCAGCTCCCCCAGGGCTCGGTGGCAGGATGGATTTCTGAAAAGGCAGCAGGGACTGTGCCTGTGTCAAACAAGTGCCTATTGCTTTTGTAAAACCATTTGTAGGAGGGGGAGATGACCATAACTTGGGAACCTTTTGTTCTAGCAACTCCAGACATGGTCCCCAACATCACCCACCACTCCGCCGAGATCTAGAAAAGGTCAGGATGCACTAAATACTCGAACAATGAGGTTTAAAGTAGAGAAATAAAAATAAAAAAAATACAAAATAAAATGCCACAACCCTGTTCATGTTGTCACGCTGACCTCCAGCCCCCATGGGGTGCTCAGAAGGCAGAAATTATTTGTATTAATGCTGCAGGCATGGCTCTGGACCTCTGTCCCAAGGCAAAGGGCTTTTCCCAAAGAAAATAAGACCTTTTTTCCTGCTGTGCCAACAGGGGCAATGCCCTGGAGCAGGGAGGGGTTTGTCCATGACCCCAGAGCAGTGGGGAGGAGCAGGGGGACGATGCACCCAGGACAACCTGGGAAAAGGGGGGTGCAGCAGCCTGCTGCTGTTCAGCCACCCTTTTAAACTTAAAAATGCCTCCTCCAGCCAGCCTGGTGTGGCTCAGGAGACTGTGTCTAACAGGGAGGCAAGCAGCCCTGGAATTATGGCGCAGTAATTGCTTGGTACTTAAAGTCCAGGTCTAGAAGATCTCCAAGTAATAACTCATCGGAAAGATATTGAGCTCTCATCACAAAGAGGAAATATGGTCTCTAAACAGGCAGCTAATGGCATGCCATTTATCTGATGGCAAATCAGCCACGTTCATTACTCTCTGCAGCACAGCCAGAAAGAGAAATACGGAATTAGCTGAGCCGGAGGAGGAGGGAAGGATGCGTTTCCTTACGGCGCTTCTCCAAGGGCATCTCCTGGAACCTGTGCCAAGGGTGATGGCAGAGCACTCCCTGAGCCCGAGAACACAGCTGGGGACAGCGAGGAGCAGGACAAGGGGTGCAGCTGGGGGCTCCAAGGGCTGGGAGGTGCTGGTGGGTGCCCCCTGCCCAGCTCCTCTTTGCCCCAAGACCCCAGGGGCTGAGGTGAGGGCTGCAGCTGCGAGCACCCAGGGAGCTGCCAGCGGCTGGGGAAGCCTCTTGGCGAGCATCTTCCTGCCCGCGGGCAACAGAAACGCACTCCAGTACAATTTTCACACCATTCAGAGCTCTTCCTGAGAAAATCCCTAGCATTATTCAAGGAAACGCTAGGACTGGGGGAATTTTTATTGTTTTTGTTCCCCTCTGCCAGCAGTGCAGCTCTGGGAGCGAACAAAGACCAGATAGGCTTTTATCCCTTTCCAGCCCCTGCCAGTCGCCGTACCGAGGCTTTGAACGCCTTAGCGCTTCCTCTGCTTTATAGCTTCCTTCCACCCCACTTCTTCTGCTCTCTTCCAGGTATTTCTGGCAGAGGAAATGCCTTTCTGGCTGCCCCGGGCTGTGTCTAGGAGATGGGCAGCGCTGTCCAGCCCATGGGGAGCCAGGTGCCCGCCTGGGTTGGGTTTGCAGCGATGTCCCCAGCCATGGGGATGTGACCCCTGTCTGTCATCCTTGATATAAACCTAAACCCCATCTCCTCCCTGCATTTTGTAGGATCTGTGCTTTTCCCCTGCAGTCCTGAGTCAGACAGAAACATCAGAAGCAGACGGGGAGGAGGGGGCACCTGCAAAACATCCCAAAACCACCCATGGGGACAGACAGACAGCGGACACGTCCCCTTTTGCCTCGGGGTGACGCTCGGGGCTTGAGCAGAGCTGAGCTCACCGGGATGGTTGGGAACAATCCCTGCTCGTGCCACCAGCCCCTGCTCCCCCCACTCACGTAGCCCCCAGCGCAGCAGCCTCCCCAGGGCTTCGCAGCGCACCCGGGCCGTGCGCACCGAAAGGAAAAAAGCCTCGCTAATTATAGTTTGCATTTCTGTGCGCAGGAGAGCGAGGGCTTTCATGGAGAGAGGCTCCTTCATCAATTAATAATCCTTCGTCTCGGAGTTTCGGAGGAAGATGGGGAGAAAGTGGCAGAGGTTTTAATGCTTAATGTGCCTTTTCTAGGGAAACAGGGGCACGCGGTGGCCTTGGTGAGCGTGGCTGAGGCTGCTGTTGGTTTTGCCTCCTGTTTTCTGCTGGCCAAGGGGAAGTTACGAAGCCCTGAAATAACTTTGCTTTTTTTTTGGGGGGGGGCTGCTTCAAAGAGCAGGGTTTCCTTTGAGCATTACTAAGAACGATCTAGAAACGATGCGCGATTATTTCCTCTTAGTCACCTACAGACTGCACCAGCCATCGCTCCGTGCTGGCCACCAGTCACAAATATTTGTCACTTAATGGGACTCGAGATATGGCCACAGTCCTAAGCCACCACCACCAGGACCAAAACCAGTCCTCAGGACATCCCCACCTGGTCATAGAGCTGGGAACCCCTCCACGAGGTGACATTTGGGGCTGCCAAGGAGCCCCCCCGAGGCTTCAGCATCCCCCAGCAGAGCCCCCCCAGCTGTCACCCCCAGCTGAGCACCCCGCGGGGTGCCCAGCCTGGCGCTCATGCCATGCACACGCTGGGAACAGTCATTTGCGAAGTGTGTGCTAAGCCAGGAGCATCACGGATAAATCACTCATAACTGGAAGGCAGTAATAACAGGAGCCTCAGGGGAAATTTGCACTGCTGAATAACGGATTCTTCTTCTTCTTTTTTTTTTTTTTCTTCTTTTTCACTTGAAGTCACTTAACGAACCCTCATGCTGAAATCTTCAGAAAGACTCACCTTAGGGGGTATTGGAAAATATTGATAAATAGCACTTGGCACTTCTGAGGCTCTCAGCAAGTGGCACAAACACTGCTGCAGCACTCAGCCTGGATGCCTCCACGTTTCACTTCCCGTGGATCTCCCTGCCCGTGAGGAGCAGGCACAGACCGGAGGGATGCTGGCATCCCCCTGCACCCCTCACCACAGCCAGATCCCGGGGAAGGCACGGGTATCTCAGCAAAACGATGCCTCCCATCCCAAACTCGCCCAAGAAGCAATATATCAGCTGTAAAGCAGCTTCCGCACTTTATTTGCTGGTAATTTACAGCCCACACTGTGAGCCAGTGTAATATTTGCAAGCAATTAAACAGAGGCTGACTCAACAACAGCTACCTCGGGTCAGATTCTCAAGTGTTCATCGTTCATAATTAAACCCGAGTTTTCGACAGCAGCGGGGCCCGGGGCTGCCGCGCTGCCTTCCTCTGCCCCAGCAGTGGGTTTGGAGCTGGGGGCGAAGGAGGAATTTTTGGAGGGGGGAAACATCCTCCAGGAGCAGGGTGAAGGCTGGGGGAGCCAGCTCCACCCCAGGGCTCTGCTCCTGCCCTCCCGCTAGGTACGGGCACTGTCAGGTCTCGTTAGTGTCCGCTCTGCCCAGGAGAGGTGAGGAAAAAGGGTTTGACTCGGATGTACACCCCTTGCTTGGCTCAGATATAAATCCCTTGCCTGGCTCAGATGCACAGCCCTCTGTAAGACTCTCCCTGCACCAGGGATGGTGCTGCCGACCCTGCTGGGAACTGAGGTTGGGCTCTGGGTGCCTCAGGGAAACTGAGGCACGGCACTGATGGGGCTGCTTGGCAGCACCGAGCAGAGCCCGGGGCTGTCCCCACACCATCCCAGGGTGTCACCCAATTTGGGTCTCTGCCAAACCCCCTCCAGCAGAGCACCCCCTGCCCATTGCACCCCCCTGATCTGTTTTTCAAACAGCCAAACACCCAAACAGCCCCATTTGTCCCCCTGCTGCTTACCCTCTGGGTTAGCAGTGTTTAGGAAAACGAGCTATTTACCACCTGCTTGATCCCACCGCCACTGGAAACAGCCCAGCAATGCCCTGGGTAGTGGGGAAGGCTGGAAAGGGAAGAAAGGGATGGGGACAGCACTGGGGTGACAGCTCTCCCCACACAGGTGGGCAGCTGGGGGTTAATGGGGCTCAGGTGCTATAAAGGGGAGGGCTGGGGAGCAGCAGGGTTTGCATCTCCTGTGATGGTGCTGGGGAGGCAGAGCCAGGAGCTGCTCAGGGGCTTCCTCCTGGCCCTGCTCCATGATTCTGAGCTGCTGGGGACTGTGGTCTGCAGCCACCGGTGTCCCCTGGCACCCAGAGGTACTGGTGGCACGCGTTTCCTGCTGTCCGTGGGTACGTAGCCAGAGGCACCAGGGGTTGTGCCTGCTTCTTGGCTCTGGCTGAAAGCTGCTTCTTTCTGTTCAGCTGCTGAAATTGTCTTTTAGGGGATTTTGGGACCCAGGGAGGATGCGGTGGCCAAACCCAGTTTGTTTGCTGGTTTGGTGGCCAGGCTGGGATGGGGCTGGCAGGTGCCAATGGTGCTGTGTCCTGTCCCCCCCGTCCCCCCCCCCCCCCCCCAAGGAGATGCTCTTCTCTGCTGTCTGGTGGCCCTGTTGTGCACAGCTGCTGGGATTTGGGGATAGGTTTTGGGGTGGGAGGCTTGGATTTGGGGTTATGGGGAGGTGGGGTGGGACCTGCTGTTGTTCAGCAACAAGGTATGGGGCTGAGCTCTGCGGCTGGGTGCTTGGGGTGCTTTTGGTGGGGGCTGCAGCCCCACAACAGATACAGCAGCTCTGCTGCTGCCCTCTTCAAAGCCCCGGATGCCCCCTCCTGCCCTGTGCATGGGAGGCAGCAAACACAGCCCGAAACAGAGCTGCCTGGCTCTAGCTTCTGGCCCCTGCCATAAATAAAATAAAATATAAAATAAAATAAAGGCATTTCACAGCCAGGGATAAAGTGCTGCAGTCAGTCACAGCAGCTGGGCAGGGACTCTGTGGCCAACAAAGCTCCCTCAGGTGCCCAGTGCCACCCCTTGAGGTGACCTGGTGCCACCCCTCCTTGGGACCTCTGCTTCCCAAACGGCCCCTGGGGCATGGCACCTTGCCCAGCACTTTCATGTGATTAAAGGAAGCCGCCGGGCTACGTACTCGCTGCTGAATTATCAGTTTTGCCATAAACCATTATTCATTATCTGTGTTTCGCTGGGTAACCTGGGCCCTGCTGGAGAAGCGCCGTTTCTTCCGCAGTCAGCTGTATTTTAATAAGTTGCGGTGCGGGTAAAATATCCCCAGAGAAAATCTAAGCATCGTTCCGTTTATCAGCCATGCAAAGTTCAGAATAAAAATATTCCAAGGTGAGGTAATGTAGTGTGACACTGTGCGAGTTAATTTATAAAAGAATTAACTGTGTTTAGAGCAGTTAGAGGAAGAAGTTGCCTCCTCCAGCTAGCGTTGGAGCAGCCCTAAAATGAAATGGACTGGCAGAGAAACATTTCTTCCCTGCAAGAGGGTTTTGTGCACGTTCAGGTGCTAAAAGTGCAATAAGTGAACCCAGAGCTGCGGTGGGATTGAAGCTCCCTGGGCAGGCCAGTGCAGGAAAATGCTGGTGATAGGAAAATGTCATCAGCTGGAGCACTGCCACACTGCCTGGAGTGCCTGTGAGCGTTAATTAAGCAGTGTTAATGAGGGCCCTGGGATGATAGAGGCCAGCCAACTCCTTCCCATGCTGTGCCAGCAGGTGCTGAGCAGCCCAGGGCCATGGGAGGGTTTCTCCAGCTGCAGCTTGCAGCGATTTGGCCACCACGAGCATCCCTCGTGCCCTGGGGTCCCCAGGCACATCCTGGTGCAGTGAGCGCATCAGGATGGGGAATCTGAGCAGGAAAGGCACGGCACGAGCCTTCACAGCCCCTGCTTTGGGGCTCGGTGCTGCCCTGATCCCGTACACCTGAGCTGCCACCTGGCCGCCAGCCCCTTCGCTGATGCCAAGAGGCCCTCCAGGGCTGGTGCTCAAATCAATATTTGCAAGCAATTCCTTCCCCTTATCTAGCAGCTTTAGGCCCTGCTGCAAAAGAAGTGAGGAGTCTATTTAGCAGCTATTTTTCAATATAATGATTTATAATGGATCAAGAAAATTAAACTGCTGGAGGAAGAGAGCGCGAGTTCGGGTGCTCCGATGGCCTAATGAAGTCCCATCAAAGTTCCCGTTTGTTGTCAGCTATTAATTCAGTCCCCGATTCAGTCTCCAAATTACTTTCCCTGGAACTGAATCTAAATCAGTTTCCCTGGAAACCAGTTTCCCTGGAACTGAATCTAAATCAGTCAGGCTGGCGGGCGGTCACCAGTGGGGTCCCTCAAGGCTCCATTTTAGGGCCGGTACTTTTCAATATTTTTATAAACGATCTGGATGTAGGAATAGAAGGCATTTTGAGCAAGTTTGCTGATGACACCAAACTTGGAGGAGTTGTGGACTCAAATGAGGGTGGAAAGGCCTTGCAGAGGGATCTGGATAGGTTGGAGAGCTGGGCGATCGCCAACCGCATGAAGTTCAATAAGAGCAAGTGCCGGGTCCTGCACCTGGGACGGGGAAACCCTGGCTGCACGTACAGACTGGGCGATGAGACGCTGGAGAGCAGCCTAGAAGAGAGGGATCTGGGGGTCGTGGTAGACAGCAAGTTGAATATGAGCCAGCAGTGTGCCCTGGCAGCCAGGAGGGCCAACCGTGTCCTGGGGTGCATCAAGCACGGCATCGCTAGTAGGTCGAGGGAGGTGATTGTCCCGCTCTACTCTGCGCTGGTGCGGCCTCACCTCGAGTACTGTGTGCAGTTCTGGGCACCACAGTATAAAAAGGACATGAAACTGTTGGAGAGTGTCCAGAGGAGGGCTACGAAGATGGTGAAAGGCCTGGAGGGGAAGACGTACGAGGAACGGCTGAGGGCACTGGGCCTGTTCAGCCTGGAGAAGAGGAGGCTGAGGGGAGACCTCATCGCAGTCTACAACTTCCTCGTAAGGGGGTGTCGAGAGGCAGGAGACCTTTTCTCCATTAACACCAGCGACAGGACCCGCGGGAATGGAGTTAAGCTGAGGCAGGGGAAGTTTAGGCTGGACATCAGGAAGGGGTTCTTCACAGAGAGAGTGGTTGCACACTGGAACAGGCTCCCCAGGGAAGTGGTCACTGCACCGAGCCTGACTGAATTTAAGAAGAGATTGGACTGTGCACTTAGTCACATGGTCTGAACTTGGGTAGACCTGTGCGGTGTCAAGAGTTGGACTTGATGATCCTTAAGGGTCCCTTCCAACTCAGGATATTCTATGATTCTATGATAAATATGAAAATCAATTAAGAAGGGAACTAGTAGCTACATCTGGGAGAGGGGAGAGGAGGGAGGTATGATGACGAATCACCCAGGTCCTCTCGAGCATGCAAATTAACATTTAGAGTGTATTTTGAGGAAGGGGAGCTTGGAAACGCTGCTTCACAGAAACCACTAGATCAATTTTCCAAGCCTGAGTGCTTGAGATTCTTCAAAGTTACTGAAGGCTCTGTCTTGGGATAAAAATATAAAAAAGACAAGAAATCAATGCTGATAATTAATTTAACACAATCTATTCGTTCTCTCTTCTTCCAGTCAATGCGAAGAGAAAATCATACAGTAGCTGAATTTTACATTTCCACCGAGATTGTGCTGGGACAAAATGAATAAGCGATCATAAATTACTTCAAAAGCTCGGCTGTGTTGTTGGGAGTGGGGCTTTTTAATTAACTGGGGGGATTTGTCACCACTTCCCCCGCTGCCCCTGCGAGGGGAAGCGATTGCCATCAGACGTGCCTGGGCAGCCCAGCCTTGGGCAGACGATGTGACTGCAAACCAGAATCTGGATGAGCTCGAAGCTGGAAAACGTCAGTGCCTGCTCCCCAGCTCCCCTTTTTAGGGTGATTGTTTTATTTTTATTTTTTAGCACTGATTTTGCTGGGTACCTGGTTTAATGTGTGAATGAGGCAACTCATGTCCCAGCTGGGATCTTGCATGAGTCATGCAAAGAGGATCCAGGTGGGTTTTTATGTGGAATTCCCCAAAATTTTGGGCTTTGTGGGGTCTCTAGATGGTGCTGGGCTTGGGCCCTGCAGCGGGGCGAGCAGGCACGGGCAGCGCGCAGAGAGGAGCTGCCTTTAATTATTCAGAGCTCATCTTCCCTCCTGTTAAAAACAAATGGGAAGTGGATGGATTTGGGTAATGAATCCCCGGTAGGGTACTTAGGTTTAAAGCAAAACCTGTCCAGTTAAATGTATCCTGTGGAAATGGATTTGATTGCTCTCATCTTCCAACTTCAATGTGGTGGCGGTGTTAGCATACTGCCAGGCGCACAGCCTGTGCGGGGAATATAAAAGGTAGAAAATAAGAGAGAAAACTCATCCCACAAAGGGGGTGCCTCCCTTTGTGCCTCCAGCCCTGGGTCTGGGCTGGAAGGAGCAGCCATCCTGCTGTCCCCTCCTGGGGAGGGGAACAAGGCCCTGCTGGATTGTCAGAGCTACTCAGGGCAGAGCTTGCTGCTGGGAGCAAGAGGGGTCTATTTTTTTTTTTCTCCCAGGGCAAAATCCTTACAGTTCTTTTCGGTGCAGTTTAGGGATGCTGGATTGTGCCTCTGGGTCCTGGCTCGTTGGTTAACTCGATCATATCCAGGAGCAGTTAATACATAATACCAAAACCTAAAGCAGCTGGAGCCAAGCGCAGAGGCCACCACTTGAGAACATGCAGAACCTTCCGAAATCCCCTCCCAGCAGCCGTCGGAGCGGTTTGTCATTTAGCTCAGCGCCAAGCAGCCGTCTGTCTGCCCTGTGTGCTTACACACAGGTTTCCAAGAGGGAGAAAAAAGGGGGGAAAAAAAAAAAAAAAACCTTTGTAAGGATCCCAGCAGCAGGGAGCTGCTGCCAGCAGAGCCAGACACTTGCACCATGCTGGAAACAAACGACGTGCTGGGCAGCCGAGCCTGCTCGCTATTGAAAAGGAGAAAAAATTCATCCGGCGCTTTAGAGTAACGGATGGCTTCTGGAACAGCGAGGGCAGCCGAGGAAGGATTGCATTTATTATCCCTGTCATGTCTTTTATTAGCAAAGTTATATCACTGGCATTATTCTTTCTGCTTTCTCATTGTTTTCCCGCAACAGCCGCCACCTTTCCCTTCGCTGTGTCGTGCGGTGGGGCTGGGCCAAGAGTTACAGCTTTTGGGGATGTGTGGGTATGGCACAGGGTGCTAAAAAGGGATGGTGGGCACATTCAGTCCCCTCCATCCTCCATCCCCAGGCACGTGGCATGGCCAGGCTGCTCCCTGCAGGGTGCAGACAGCACTGAGGCATTG